TGTTCCACAAAGTGGAGGATACAATTAGGGGATCATCTATCCTGGATTTTGTTCTGGCCAACAGGAAATAACTGATGGAGGATGTGAAGATGATGGACAAGTTGGGTGGAAATGATCTCAATATGATAGAATTCCAGAGACAGGGGAAGCATGAGGTCAGCAAAATTAGGGTGTTAGATTTCAACAAGGTGAATTTAATTTGACTTGATTTAATAGGCATGGTGCCGTGGAAAGATGGACTGAAGCATAAAGGTGCCCAGGAGGTCATGAAGTTTCTGAAAGGCACAGTATTGGAAGCCCAACAAAAAACTGTCCCAACACGATGGAAGCAGAAGAAGAATGGCAGGAGACAAATGTGGTGGCATAAGGAACTTGTAAATACCTCAAATGCAAAAGGAAAGCATACAAATAGGCAGGTCACCAAAGAAGCATGAACATGTTGTAATTATGTTGGAGGACCAGAGTGCAATTCAGAAGGATCTTGATATATTGGAAAACTGGGCCGGAGCCAATAGAAGTTCATTGTTGACAAATGCCAGGTGTTAAACCTCATGAGGAAGATCATAAATACAAATACAAAATGAGTGACACCTGGCTCAGTGGCAGCACTACCAAGAAAGATCTGGGAGTCTTGGTAGATCACAGACTCAATATGAGTCTGCAGTTTGTAGCTGCACAAAAGTTGAATGTGGTTTTGGGATGCATCAATAGAAGCATTAGGTGCGGGACACAGGAGGTGATAGTGCCTCTTTGCTTGGCACTGGTTAGGCCTGATCTAGAGTATTTTGTGCAGTTTGGGGCTTCACATTTTAAAAGGGACATGGAGAAGCTGGGGACATGGAGGGCAACAAAGATGCTAAAGGGCTTGGAAGGCAAGTCATAGGAGGAGAGGCTGAAGGAGTTAGGCATGTTCAGCTGGCAGAAAAGGTGCTTAAGAGGGGACATGATTGCAGTCTTCAAATATTTGCCATAAAGAGGGAAAACACCTTTTTTTTTCTCTTGTTGCTGAGAGTAGGATATGTATCAATAGCTTGAAGTTGCAGACGGGTAGATTAGTTTGGATATCAGGGAAAGCTTCTTCACTGTTACAATATTGAGGCACTGGAATAGACTGTCTTGGGAAGTTGTAGCCACTTCATTAGTGGAGGTGTTCAAGAAGAGACTGGACAGCCGTTGGTTACAGATATTCTAGGGGTAGATATTTGTAACTAGGTGCATGGCTCGGGGCGGGAACCTGGCTATGGTGGGGGGTTAATGAGTCCAGAGGTATGTGACCAGCTGATGGAGACGATTGCCTGTGCTTAGAGGAGGTTAAAAACACCCAGGGAGGGAAGCTGAGGAAGAGGGGGAAGACTGTGGTGCTGAGGAGGCAGCACAGAGCCAGAGATGCCCTCTCTAGGTCTGAGGAAGGGCTGCTTGTTTTGAGTTAACCCTTGTTGTTTCTGTATTTGTTTGTTTTATTAGTGATGTTGTTTCCTGTGGGGGTAAGCTTGTGCCAGGGAAAATAAAAACTGAATGACAATATGCTACACATGGTGGAGAACATGGGCATTTAAAAGCCAGTGTCAGCCACAGAGACCAGAATCTTGCTAAAATGGCTGGAGGGGCTGCAGCAGCATCAAGAGCAGCAGCTGTTTCAGCAGCTCCAAAACAGCAGTTCCAGAGAGAGCAGCATGAAACGGCTATGACAGTCCCTCCCTGGCCCACTTGGATATAAGACAGAAACCCTGCCCGTGCTGGTGAGTCACCAGGCTCCCCAAGGCTAGAGGGTGGAGGCCTCATCAAGTTGGGACCTGTAGATGACCTGGAGGCTCACCTCACAACCTTTGAGTGGGTGGTGGAGTCCTAACAATGGCCATAGGACACATGGCCTGTGAGGGTGACCCCTCTGTTAACTGGGGAGGCACAGGCCATTTAACAGATGCTGGGAGCAGATTCAGCCCAGGATTATAAGAACCTTAAAGTAGCCATACTTGTCTGATAGGGTTTCACAGGGGAGATCTATTGCCCTAAGTTTTGAGTGGAGACTTGGGACCTGAATGCATAGCCGCATGCCATAGCCCATAAGCTAAAGGACTGGTGTGCTCGCTGGCTAGATCTGGACTTCTGGTCAGCTGCAGAGATTGTGGAACTGATGACTTGAGAACAGTTTTGTGCTACCCTCCCAGTAAAAATCCGGAGGTGCGTGTACCATCGCCACCAGGTGGCCAGCCTGGAGAAAGCCACATGGAAGGTAGAGGACTTCATGTGGGGCACCGTTAGACTGCTGGGATTCCTGGAAAAGCTGGCAGCCTCCAGGCTCGGGGAGGCCAGGACAAACAGGACAAGTCTCTAGGGTCTGATAGGGGCATTACCTCCATCTCCCCTGAGGTCCCATGTAGGAGTAAAACTCTTGAGTGGACCCCCCAGAGAAGAAAGCCACCTGGGGCACTCTCACAGCCCAGGCAGAGAAAGGGAGGCTCAAATGATGTTTTTTTACTGTGGGGAGAAATGCCACTGATATTGAGACTGCCTGCAGATGGACTTTGGGCACTCCTACGCCTTTGTCTCAGAAGTGAGGTAGAAGAGCCCAGACCAAAGGTGATATGTAATCTCTGTAAACTCAGGAATGTCCATGTAGTAGGGCTCATAATCTCAGGCTCTTTTAAAATGCTTGTGCGTGAGTGGTTTGTGAGTCTGGCAGACATCCCAGTAGGTGAATGAGTGTATGTCACGTGCATTCATGGGGAGACCCAACTCTACCTCATAATCCAGCTGTGCCTGACCATCGGGGGAAAGAAAGTGTATCTAAGAGCAGCAGTGGCCTGTTATCTAGCCTACACTGTGGTGGTAGGGCTCAATTGGGGCTTGATGGCCAAGGTGATATGGTTGGCCCAGAGAATGGGTAAAACCCAAGCTGACCCCAGGGCCAGAGAACCGGAACTAGGGGAGACATTTTCCTTTTCAGGCCCCAAGCTTTTTGGACTTTTACCGAGGTGATTCTGAGAGCGGTGGCAGGTCAGGTGGGAGGCCCTTGCCAGCTAGAGGAAGAGGGGTCAGGGTTCAATGCGATTTGGACCCCCCTCCAAAGAAAGCAGAGGATCAGAGAATCATCAGGAGGTTGGGCTAGATCAGGTGGAGGAAAGCTGAGATTTCATCCTTGATGAAAGGGAGGGTTTGGTATATACTTCGCTGTATGGATGGGCCAGTGAGGCCATAGTGGATGCAAGCTTAGCAGCCCAGGACCCCCATTTTAAGTTGCAGGAGGACAAGGTTACAGGGGCATGAGAGTCCCAATTATTGGTCCCAAAACAGTACCATGACCAGATTTTGAAACTGGTACATAATGTAAAATGGGGGTGGGGAGGGAATTTGGTAGTGGAAAAGACCCAGGATAGAGTGCTGCTGAGGGTTTTTTGGCCTGGGGTATACTAGGAAATCAAAGACTATTGTGCATCCTGCCCTGAGTGCTAGTTTGTTGCACCTCAGCTTGCTCATAACGCCACACTAGGGTCCATCTCATTGGTTGGCATACCATTTCAACAGGTTGGGGTGAGCATGATGGGACCCCTGGAGCCCAGTTCAAGGGGATCCAACTTCATCCTGGTTGACTATGCCACCTGCTACACCGAGGCTGTGGTGATCTGCTTAGCTTCAGCCCAAATGGTGGCCTCTGAGCTACTAGATTTTCTCCTGTGTGTACATTCTTAAAGGGTTTTTAATGGACCAGGGCATGGCCTTTATGTCCCAATTGCTACAGGAGTTCTGGGGCTTGTCTAAGGTCTATTCAGCAAGGACTTCAATGTATTATCCTCAAATGAATCACCTTGTCGAAAGATTTAATCGAACACTGAAGGGGATGTTGAGGAAATTTATCTCAGGAGCTGCGAAATTTGGATCAGTTATTACCAAATTTGTTGTTGGCCGTATGAGAGGTTTCAGTCTTCCATGGGCTTTTTGCCCTTTGAGTTACTGTAGGAGAGGCAGCTCCAGGGCACGCTAGACCTCATGTAAGAGTTCTGGCAGGCCCAGGGAACAGCTACACAAAACACAGTTTGGTATGTTTTGAAGGTGTGGGAAAGGTTAGACCTGGTGGAGGTCCTTACAAAGAAAAATCTTGAAGCAGCCTGACAGGAGCAGGAACAGCAATACAATAAAAATACTTGTTTCTGGATCTACTGGCCAGGGTATTGAGTTTTACTATTGCTCCCTTCTTCTAAGAGTAAGTTGCTCATGAGTAAGTGGCAAAGTCCTTCGGTGATTCTTAGGCAGGGGTGGACAAAATAGCAGATCTGGCTGGCAGCTGGATTCCATTTCCTAGCAGTCCCTGCCTGTGTGGTTGGGGCCAGTCTCTGTAGAGACCCCAGCCACAGCTGTGCTATGATAGCAGATTTGGGGTTGCCATGGAGACTGGCCCCAGCCATGCTGCAGGGCGCATGGCAGGGCAGCTCCGGACTGCTCTGGAGTTGCTGGGATCTTGCAGTGGGGGGTGTTAGACCCCAACTCCATGCGGCGCCCAACGACTAGGGAGACGACAGTCTGCAGCCTGCATGTGTAATTTTTATCCAATTTTAATACATTTTTAAAAAGCAACAAAATAAGTCATGATATCAAATTAAATGGAAAAGTATGCTATTTAGCTTATAATAATTGTTTTTTCAGGCTAAATCCTAAATTTTATTTAATTATACAAATGAGGAGTGCAGTGCACTCAAAAAGAGGAGTGCAGTGTATAAATTCAAACACATACCTTTTAAAGGATCATAATTGCTAGTTTTCCAAAGCAAGAAGATGTTGCTATTTTGTGTTCCTCATGATATTATCATATTCTGGTTAGATTATAAATTATAAATTAAACATTGTAGCTCACTGATAAGAGAATAAGGCTGAGCCTAGGGACTTGATGGCTGGGCTGTTGCTAAGTTAATACTGAACTTTGTAAGCTGAAAATGATGTTCTTGTTGCTAAGTTGCTCAAGACAGAAATTCAAGTGAATTTATTATGATTTTTCTTCTTAACAGGCACATGCCAAAGTCTGGCATCTCTACAACGATCATTTTCGTCCAACTCAAGGAGGCGAGGTATCCATTGCCCTTAGCTCTCACTGGATAAAGCCTCAATACATGAGTGAACAAAATATTAAAGAATGTCAAAAATCCCTTGACTTTGTGCTTGGCTGGTTTGCTAAACCCATATTTATAGATGGTGACTACCCAGAGAGCATGAAGAGTAACTTATCATCTCTTCTGCCTGAATTCAGTGAAGCAGAAAAGAAGTATATCAAGGGAACGGCTGATTTTTTTGCTCTTTCTTTTGGAGCTACACTGAGTTTCCAGCTCTTGGACTCTCACATGAAATTCCAGCAGGTAGAATCATTAAGCCTGCGGCAGCTCCTTTTCTGGATAAACAGTGAATATAACCATCCAAAAATTTTCATTGTGGAAAACAGCTGGTTTGTTTCTGGAAGCACCAAGAGAGATGATGCAAAGTATATGTATTATCTCAAAAAGTTCATCATGGAGACATTAAAAGGTAGGACGGAAGATGAATTAATGTTTTCCTGACTGTGAGAGAGTGCTTATGCTAAGCAAGGCCTAGCATAATTAGTAACTCACTAAAACTCCCAGAATGCTTCAAGGAGGTTGAGAAGTCAGCGATTGACATTCTGGTTTTCACCATCTGACCCTTGAATAAGAATGCTGACAGTATGATAAA